AAAAAAAAAATGTTCTTCTACTTCTACTGTCTTCTGGATTTCATCATTTCTGTGGAGAACAATCTGTCAGTCTTACTGCTCCGTTACTTTTAAGATTTTTCTTCTTAGTTTCAGTTTATAACAGTTCTACTGTGATATGTCTGTTTTTGTCTTTGTACCGCCAACCTGGGTTTGCTGAGCTTCTTGAATCTGTGGGGTTGATCTCTTTCATGTGTTTGGACATTTCTCAGCCGTTTGTCCCCCAACAGCAGCCTTCTCCCAGAAGCCGTGTAGTTTGAGATCTCTAAAAACTGCAGGTTTGTCCCACCTCAACCCCACATAACCACATTTTAAAAGCATTATGGTTTCTCTTTCCTCAGTGACAGCCCTCGGCCTGGGCCACACTGTAATCCTGAGCTCATGCGAGGGTCGGCAAATGCAGCAAGGGCAATAAAATAAAATAAATAGTAAAATTAAAAAAAAAAAAAAGAAACAGCTATCGACTGTTGACTCACTGAACATTCACCCCTGGCTAGAGTATTCATCCACCTAGTCCTTGTTGCTTCCACAACTACTTATGCTTTAAGGAATTATTTTTGTAATTTATCTGGCTTTTTCTAGTTGTCAGCAAGAGTATTAGCCTGCCAATACCCTACCATATCCAACTTCAAGGTAGAGGGGGCCCGATGTTTTTGAGTGCTTGTCATGTGCCAGATGCCCTTCTGGGTTCAAGGTATAGGATTGCCCAGTCTAAAGTAACTTAAGACAGATGGATACAAAATCATGCAGCTTACGATGTTCCATAATAGCGGTGTGCACAGTGGTGAATGTGAAACAGGACAAAGGAGGTGAATGTGAAGGAGCGCCACCTGCTTGGGAAATTGCAAATTTTGTCATTTTACGTGGCTGTAGTTTCAGGTGGAAGGAGTGAAGCCCTGAGAGCTGAGGTTGCTGAGATAGGCAGGAGCCTGATGGCCAAGAGCCCCACATGCCATGGTGAATAGGTGGGCTAGGGAGTGCAGTTGAAGAATTTTAAGCAGCAAAGAGTTATCAGGTTTTTGTTTTAGAAAGATTACTTACATGTCATTGTGGAATGTGGATCCAAGAAGGGCAAGCACACGAGACCAGGGGCCCTCGAGGAAACAATTACAGCCAGTCCAACAATAAATAGATGGTTATCGTCACCAACAGATTTGAAAGATGTTGAAGGGGTAGAATTGATGAAATTTAAGAGAATGGTGGCATTAAGAGGGAGGTGGGAGAAAGAGAGGCTAAGGTTTCTAGCTCAGGTGAAGGCCGTAAATCACCAAGGGGGCACCGACAAGCCAGCAGAGTTCAGTCTGGGATGGATTGTGTGTTCCCACTTCATTGGCTCTATTGCAGTTTGTGTTGTACAATCTGAGAGCATAGTTCAGGGGGGCCCCAGGTCGTCGTCTTGAAAGTCCTGAGATGAATAAGAGAGATGTAGGGCCCCAGGCCATTGCCTTCACTCCAGCTTCAACCAGACCCTCTGATTTATTCTACCTTGTGTGCTGGGCTTCCACTTAAACATTTTATTTGAAATAAGTTTTCCATGCTAAAAGAAGAAAAAACAATTTACTAACAGTTTTTCCTTCCTCATTCATCTGCCCATTTTAGATCTCTGTTTAGAGTTGTTCATTTGAATGGAATCCTTTCTCAAGTATCTTCCTTGGGAGGGTGTGTGGGTAATGCCCTCTCTGAATCCTTGCTCTTGTTCTTGCAGTCTGACTGGTGACTGCTTGCCTGTATATAGGGTTTGGGGGCCACAGTCCTTTCTTTGCAGTCCGTAGATGCTATTCCATCGTTTTCTGGTGTCCCTTGTTGCATATGAGAAAGCCAGAGCCAGTCTTCTAAGTTGTTTGTTTCTTCCTGAAAGCATGTATAATTTTCCTCTGTCTCTTTTAGCATACAGGAATTTTACCAGAGTGTGACTAGGTGTGTGTCCTTCTGTCTTTTCAGTCTCCAGATAAATCTTTCTGCAGCTCAGGGAAATGTTTCAGTTGTTTATTTGCTCTGGCTCCTCCATCTGGTCCTTTCTCTCCTTCCAGAATTCCCAGCTATTTACGTGTTGCTTTTCCAAGTCTCACGAGTTCCGTCTCTTTGTAGTTCTGTTCTGGGTTTTAAAATAGCTCTACTTGATCTTCCAGGCCACTGATTGGATCTCAGTAATTAACCATCTTTTTTAAAAAAAATCCCATCAATTGAGCTTTTTCGGTGTGGAAAATCATGTTTTTAAAATTCTAAAAGATATCATTCGCCTTGTGATCAAACTTTTTTATTGCTCTTATTATTTTTCAAATTCTCGTCTGTCTCCCTTAGTAGTTCTGTTAGTCTAAGACTCACCACCTCAGACTGCTGGGTCCCATTAAGTGGCTGTCTTCCTTCCCTTCTGTTGTTCCAACTACAGTACCTCAGGCAGGGGACAGCACAGCAGCCTCTGGGTCATTCGTGTGTGAGCCAGTGCCAGTGGGAAGGCAGTAATCCCTGGCCGAGCCTTCTGGCGTCAATAGCTTGAGAAAGGGCAGATTTGAGCTTTCTTCCTTTCATAGCTTCTGGGGGGTGGTCACAGAGACCAAGAGATATCCCCCCAACAAGCCTCACAGTGACCAATATTGCCCTTCCTTGCAGAAGATCATGGGGCTCTGTGGACCAGACTCTCTCCAGGGTTTTAGAGCCTGATTGTTGCCCTGGAGCCCTCTCCTGACCCAGGAGGAAAATCCGGCACAGACTGTCTCTCTCTGGGCTGAGCAGATCTTGCCCACACTCACCAGGCACCACTTGCCTGCCAGCCCTGTAGTCAGTGGGGCTCTGGAGGGTTCATTGGATTGGGGACAGGAAGGGGCATCATCTGTTCAGAAGCCCCCAGTAAGTTGAGCCCAGAGAGAGAGAGAGAGATTGGGAGAGACAGACAGACTGACAGACCCCACCAGCCTAGACAATCTCTAACCTCCCTCCAGTGCCAACATTTTATGATTGTACGTGTTTATGGTCTCCAGCTTCAACTCAGTCCTCAGTACCCTTGGGCCACACTTTTATGTCTTCCCAGCATGCTCTGCTTCCCCAAAGGGAATATTTGAGACTTTTATTTCTCTCCTCAAGCCCTCTGTTTACCCCGCCCTCCCCCTTCTTGTTCACTGTCAGCCTATGACTTTGAATTTCTCCTCATAGAGAAAAGAGACTCTCTGGTATTAAGTTGCTCAGTTCGTTCGCTCACCTATAAACCTGTCTCCTTTCACTGCCTGCCTGCTGTCCATCTTTCCATCCTGCTGGACTCTCTCTTCTCCTATGATTTCTGTGATGGTGTGCGCTCCTGGTTTTCCCCTTTCTCTGGCTACTCGCTTCTGTTTTGTTCCGCTCTCCATCTCACCCACCTCTGACTCTTCTTCCATATCACTGGCTGCCAGGGGGTGTTCTCGGTGCGTAAAGTTGATCCTATAACTTCCGCTTAAAACCTCTCCATGACAGGAACAGGTGATAGAAGTCAAAATAGAGGTTACCACTGGGCAGGGGAAGCAGGAATCAACTGTAAAATGGCTTGAGGGAGCTGGAAATATTCTTTGTCTTGTTTTGGGTGGTGGTTATATAGATCTCTACATCACAAAAACCCACTGAGCTGTACATTAAGACTAGTGTATTTTACTCTATAAATGTTATACGTCAACTTGAAAAAGATAAAACTGGGGTGCCTGCGTGGCTCAGTCAGTTAAACGTCTGCCTTCAGCTCAGGTCATGATCCCAGGGTTCTGGGATCGAGTTCGGAGTTGGGCTCCCTGCTCAGTGGGGGGCCTGCTTCTCCCTCTGCCTCTGCCCCTCCCCCCACTCTTGCATGTGCATGCGCTCTCTCTCTCTCTCTCTCTCTCATAAATAAAATCTTAAAAGAAAAAGAAAAAGGCATAACCTTCAGTGGCTCTCCATTACTACCACAGGTTAAGATCCAAACTCGTTAGCATAGCCCACAGATTCCTGTTATTCCTCCCTCAAGTCTGGCTCAAGCCTCTTCCTCCTGTGAAACCTAGCCTGGCTTTCCCAGGCTTCTGACGCATGGGTCTCCCACACTCACTCAGGACCGTGAGCACAGGCCCGTCCCCCATTCTTAGCAGCCTGTGTTGGAACTGTCCAGCTGCTTCCCTCAGTAGACCGGGGCCCCCTCAGAAGAGCAGCCACCTCTCTTCAGTTCCATTGCTCCTCTAGCACCTTGTGCAGTGACTGACACATAGGCCCCCACTAAATGTCTGTTGATTGAATGACTGCAGGTCCACTTTGAATTTGCTTTGAGCCTTGACCTTTACTGAAAAGTGTTCTTCCTCCGGCCTGCAGGATGCTTCCTCAGTGAGACTACTGCACAATGGCAGTGTTCGATACTCCTGAGGAGGCCTTCGGTGCCTTACGCCCAGTCTGTGTTCAGCTCACAAAGACCCAGACGGTGGAGACCGTGGAGCACCTGCAGGCGAGGTTACAAGCTGTGAGTGACTCCGCCCTTCAGGAGCTTCAGCAGTACATCCTCTTCCCTTTGCGATTTACGCTGAAGACTCCGGGTCCCAAGAGAGAGCGTTTGATCCAGAGCGTGGTGGAATGCCTCACGTTTGTCCTCTCTTCAACATGTGTGAAGGAACAAGAACTTCTCCAGGAGCTCTTTTCGGAACTCTCTGCCTGTCTGTATTCGCCCAACTCCCAAAAACCCGCAGCTGTGTCCGAGGAGTTGAAATTGGCTGTGATCCGTGGCCTCAGCACGTTAATGCACTCGGCTTATGGGGACATCATCCTGGCTTTTTATGAGCCCTCCATCCTGCCTCGTTTAGGATTTGCTGTATCTTTACTGTTGAACCTAGCAGAACAGGAGAAATCAAAGCAAATTAAAATTGCTGCCTTAAAATGTTTACAGGTTCTACTCTTACAGTGTGACTGTCAGGACCATCCGAGGTCCTTGGGTGAGCTTGAGCAGAAGCAGCTGGGGGATTTGTTTGCTTCTTTTTTACCTGGAATCTCAATGGCACTGACCAGGGTGATCACAGGAGACTTTAAACAAGGGCACAGCATTGTCGTGTCTTCCCTAAAAATCTTTTACGAGACAGTGAGTTTCATTATGGCTGATGAGCAGCTCGAAAGGATCTCAGAGGTCCAACCAAAGCCTGCAGTGGAGCATAGAGTCGCAGAGCTGATGGTTCACAGGGAAGCCAAGTGGGTAAAAAACACCAGTGACAAACTGACTCTCCTTCTTAAAAAGATCATTGAGTGTGTTTCAGTCCACCCACACTGGAAGGTCAGGCTGGCACTGATAGAACTCATCGAGGCCCTTCTTTTGAAGTGCGGTCAGTCCCTGGTTGGTTCGGCTGGACCCCTTCTGAAGGCTTTGGTGGGTCTAGTAAATGATGAGAGTCCTGAAGTCCAAGCCCAGTGCAATAAAGTTCTGAGACATTTTGCAGATCAGAAAGTAGTGGTTGGCAACAGAGCCTTTGCTGACATCTTGTCAGAAAACCTGCATTCCCTCGCCACGTCTCTTCCCCGCTTCATGAACTCCCAGGACGATCAGGGCAAATTCTCTACTCTCTCCCTGTTACTCGGTTATCTGAAACTCTTGGGCCCCAAAGTGAACTTTGTCCTCCACTCTGTGGCCCATCTTCAGCGCCTTTCCAAAGCGCTCATCCAAGTGCTAGAATTGGATGTGACTGACATCAAAGTCGTCGAAGAGCGGTGCTGGAATTCTGGTCACCTGAGCGCTTCTCCGGAGACTGCGGCTCCGCAGCCGTGGAGCCCAATGCAGAGGAGATATTTCCGCTTCTTCGCCGATGAGAGGCTTTTCCTGCTCTTGCAGCAGGTGTGTCAGCTTCTTGGTTTTTATGGGGACCTCTATTTGCTCGTAGATCACTTTATGGAGCTGTACCACGAATCTGTGGTTTACCGGAAGCAAGCTGCCATGATCCTGAATGAGCTGGTTGTGGGGGCTGCTGGGCTGGAGGTGGAGAATCTTCATGAAAACCATATTAAGACAAGCCCCGAGGACCTGAGGGAGATTGTGACATCTATACTGGAAGAATACACAAGCCAAGAAAACTGGTATTTGATCACTTGTATCGAATCTGAAGAAGTGGAAGAGGAGCTAACAATGAAGCGGTCAGGCCTCCAGGCCATTACATGTGGTGCACACACCTGCCAAGTTACATCTTTTTCAGCCTTCTCAAAGCCGAGTCCCACTATCTGCTCCATGAACAGCAACATCTGGCAAATATGCATCCAGTTGGAAGGGATTGGCCGCTTTGCGTACGCACTAGGAAAAGACTTTCGTTTGCTTTTGATGTCAGCCCTCTATCCAGTACTGGAGAAGGCTGGGGACCAAACCCTGCTCATTAGTCAGGCAGCTACCAGCGCCATGATGGACATTTGCCATGCTTGTGGCTACGACTCTGTGCAGCACCTGATCAATCAAAATTCGGACTATTTGGTGAATGGGATCTCTTTAAATCTGCGTCATCTGTCTCTGCACCCCCATACCCCAAAGGTCTTGGAAGTCATGCTGTGGAACTCAGACGCTAGCCTGCTTCCTTTGGTGGCAGATGTGGTTCAGGATGTCTTGGCCACTCTGGATCAATTTTATGATAAGAGAGCGACTTCCTTTGTCGGTGTCCTGCATGCCCTGCTGGCAGCATTAGGTACATTCAGAGCCCTTTTTAATGCTAATTTCGGGGAAGGCCTAGTATCCTTGTTTGCCTAATCTTATCTTTTGTTTGTGTGTGGTTATGCTATGGAGGACATTATTTGAATAGTTGTTGGTCCAGTCCTACATGTTATGCCAGGGTTCCACTGCTTTTTATATATATATATACACATAGATATATATAAAATATATGTGTATATTATATATATCTCATAGATGTTATTAATATGTATGTTAATATATAGTAATATGTAATGTATTTTAATATATACATATATGTAATTTTAATAACACACATATATATACACACATACATACTCTTAATAACCTCTATCATATATTGAGCTCCTGCTCTGTGTCAGGGACATAAACCCTGCAGACTAAATGTAAACATCATTTTTATTTTACAGAAAAGAAAAACTAAGGCTCAGTGAGACTGACTTAGCCAGGGTCACACAGGCAATAAAGAGTAAAGTCAGGATTTATGACAGTTTTGTTCTTTTCAGTAAACCAGACTGTTTCTGACAGTACGTGGGGTTAGCAGTATCTGTGCTAATGGAGAACAGGAATAACAGGAATTACTCAGTCCACAGATGCGCTAGAGCATTACTGTCCACTAGAACTTTCTGTGATGATGGAAATATTCTATATATGTTCTGTCCATTACAGTAGCCACTAGGTACATGTGGCTAGTGTCACTGAGGCACTGAATTCTTTATTGTAACTTAAATAGCCACATGTAGCTCGTGACTACCATACTGGACAGAGGTCTAGAAACTTTCTTTTAACCTTTGAATTGTATGAGGTGGTTTGAGTTTCTCTCCTTCCTTTTGTCCTGTTGGGTATCTATTGGAGGTGTTCATAACCATTAAAATGGCAAAGTTTTGGACAATAAGAAAAAGAATCTCTCAATTAGATTGTCTTTGAATGAAAAAATAACGAGCTGTATACTTGAGTCCCTTTTATCCAAAGACCATATCTCTAGTATTTATCTCAGCCCACTAGCCTCCATGGTAGGTGAAAATGTCACTGACCTCATTTTGTCAGCCCAGAAATCCAGGATTTCTTACATGTAAGAAAGTTTGCCACAGCAAGGAGGGTGGCTGGAACAGAGACCCTCGTCTGCCCTGTACCTGATACCATTTCCAGTGTTCATTCATTCATTCATGAACATTCGCATGCCATCTAAATGTTTTTTTATTCGTTCGTTTAATAAAGAGTAGCTGCCGTGTGTCAGACACTGCTTAGTAATCAGGATATAGCAGTGAGCAAGATGAATAAACTCTTCAACTTTCTTGCTCCTGCAAAGGAGATGACAAGTAAATCATTAAACAAGTTCATTTTAGAGTCTAATAAGCACTCTGAAGAAAACAGACAACCTGATGCAAGAGAGGAACAGGGTAGGATACTTTAAGTAGAGTGATCAGGGAGGGCTTCTCTGAGGAAGCAACACTAGAGCTGAGACCTGAAGGCTGAGAAGGGCCCCTCGGTATGTGTGGAGCTGTCCTACCCTTCTTATGTTTTTTTAAGAACCTTCGGGCAAAAGAAACAGGTGCAGAGCCTGGGAGAGAGGCCATTGTGGAGAGAGTAGTATGAGATAAAGCTGGTAGGTGAGGCGAGGATAAACCCCACATGGTCTTGTAGACCAACGGAGGGAGTTTGGATTTTATTTTGCAACCACTCGGAAGTCTGTGGACTGGACTAGTTGCTGGGATGTCAGCAGTGACCAAGAAGGACTGGACCCCTGCCCTCGCAGCAGCACTGCTGAGCCTGGCTCATGGCTTCCATGGTCTGAAGCTAGCCCAGACTTCCACCTTTAGTGCTTTGGGGAACTAGACTACATTGTCAGTTTGAGATTTTAAAACTATATTGAGAAAAGGCCTATTAAATATATCCTCTCAGGAGATAATCTCAGTTGGGGCCTTGAAAAATGAATTGTCTTGGGTTGCTGATGTCTTTGGTCACCTTGAAAGGAGAAACCCTGTGTAGCGCTTTATCTTTATTTTTTTTAATTGAAGCGGAAGAGGAAGGGTCTCCACTGTAGAGAGAAAAACGAGGATGATTAACATTGACTTGAGGGCATCCTACGGAAAGAAGCAAAATGGGGGATGGCTTTCCTGAAAGTGTTGAAATCACCCCAAATATATTTGCATTTGAAATGGTGAGCCACACTGAAGTAGAGTTGGTCAGTCGTTCACGAATCAGAGTAGCACTGCGTGCTGCCGTTTGTTTGTCTTTGAGTTGTCTAACTGATGGCCACTCTCTCATTTTTTATTTTATTTTGAGAGAGAGAGAGAAGGGGGGAGGGGCAGAGGTAGAGGGCAGACTCCCCACAGATGTTCGATCTCACGATCCCTGAGATCTTGACCTCACTGATGGCCACTCTTTTAAGATGGGAATGGAACTGTGGTCTCAGAGAACCTCTAAAAAGTCTTCAAAGGACCCAGCACATGTTTTAGAAAATGGAGTTACCATAAATACCAGTGTTCCACAGCCATTGGCTGAAAAGCATTAGGTGCCACAGTGAGGGCAAGAACTATCAGTTCAGTTACTGCTGAGCACCACCTACCAGTTGGCCGATGACTCATAGCAACAAGAGTAGGGTAGCTTTAAAAGTAAGAAAGAGTCCATGCCATGCACCTTAGCACTGAGAGCCTGTGCCACATCCATACGTGGAGGGCTGCCACCTCGTTTTCATGGCTGCGTAGGATTCTGTTGTGTGGCTGCACACAATTTACTTAAATGGTCCTTTCTTGGAGATTTTGGTTGTTTCCATTCTTTTGCCACCACCACAAAAAAAAAAATTGCTGCAATGAGTATCTTTATAGGTCATTTTGAACATGTCTGAGTATATCAATAGGGTAAATTCCTAGGGAGGAGTATTGGCTTAGAGGACAGTACATTTAATCTGGGGGTTTTTTATTTGTGTTTTTGTTTGTTTGTTTGTTTTAAGTAATCTCTATACCCAGTGTGGGGCTCGAACTCACAACCCCAAGATCAAGAGTCACATGTTCCACTGAGTGAGCCAGCCAGGCACCCCACATTTAAGTTTTGGATGGAGAGTTTCAAACTGCTCTCCAAAGAGGTTGCACCAATTTAAACTCCTGTCAGCGGTGTAGCAGAGTGCTGATTTTGCCACCCCCTCATCACCATATTCCCGAGCTTTTTGCTAATCCTTGCTTATCCAATAGGAGAAAAATAGCACCTTATTATAGTTTAATTTACATTAAGAGTGAGACTGAGTTCTTTTCATGTTTAAAAGCCATTTTTGTAAGCAAGGACTTTAGTGTCTGGTACTAGCCTAAATGTAGAAATGTAGGAATCACATATCTTCTTTGAGCATTGTAAATGCTAAGTCCTGATTTTAACTTGTTGGGAATGCAATCCCTTGGAGTATACTAGGGCCTGACTTATGTGTGGGGACGGGGCATTGAGGAAATGGCATAATTGATCCCCTACATGTAGAACCTCTAGGTTCTGGAATGAAGACTGTCACCCAGCATTTGCTCTCTGCGGTTCCCATTGGCCTGGCCCTGGCATCTCCCATCTGCTGTTGCTCCAGCTCTGCGCACGTGCTCCTTGATAGAAAGGAGATTAGCAGGTGCGAAAGGTTATCAGAGGCATTTTTCCTGCTGTCTGTAAAAGAATGAAAATTCACACTGGGGTTTTCTGGGATTTTTTTTTATTGTTGTTTCTTTAAGTGTTAAGAGCCTTTTTTGAAATGAAGCCCTAGGGGAAACCCAGTATACAAAAATAGCTGAAATCAGAGCTGCTGGGTTAGAGAGGAGTTAGACGCCCTGGGCCCACTCCTTTAGCATGTTGTCTCTTGGGGCCCTCCCTGTTGTGGCCCCGAGACATTCCTGCAGAACCGTTAGGGTTCCTCAAGGCACAGTTTGAAAGCCACTGGTTCAGTGATGTTTAAGGCTTATTCTGTGGTGACACATCAGAAATACTGGAGCATCCTGAAGAAGGAAAAGCTTTGGAGAGAATATGTCAGCCTTTTCTATCAGAAATACAGATGTGAGGGTCTGTGTCCATTCCAAGACTCTATAGAGCCTGTCTTCTTCTAATGAAGAGTGCATCCTGTACTCAGAATTTTGTCACTTGTATGTATTCTCTTGCATATTTTCTCATTCAGCATATATTTGAGCACCCACTCCATGCTGGGCTTGTTGGATTCCAGTGGCAATCAGTGGAGCAGAGTCTAGTGGGAGATTCAGACACTAAACAGTACGCTCAAGATAAATGTAATTATAAATCATGATGAGTTGATATGAAAGGAAAGAAGATAGTACTATATAAGAAAGCCTATAGGGACCTAAATTGGATTGGGAAGTCAAGGGATGGCTTTACCAGGCAAGTTCTATGTGTACTGAGACATGAAAGGTGAATTGGAATTAGCCAGATGTGATGTCATGAGGAAGGTACTCCAGACAACAAGAACAGCATATGCAAAACATTCTGAGGTCGGAAAACACCTGCCACATTGGAGGAATGGGAAGATGCTCGGTTCACGGGCAACTGGGAGGAGATGGAAGATGAGGTTGGAGAGACGGAGGGACCAAATTGTGTGGGGCCACGCAGGCCATGGCAAAGAGGTTATTCTACCTCTAGAGTACTAATGCCTATTGTCAATGACCGTGGTGATCATTATAACACTTTATTTTTAGCCCAGTGGTTCCCAGACGCAGGTGATCTCGGGCAACCCCAAGAGCAGAGTGCAGGGGAGGAGGGAAGTCATTTGAGCCAAGGACCAGCAGCTCCTGAGAAAGGACTTGAGAATACCACCACAGCAGAAGACATTGAACAATTTTTGCTGAACTACCTCAAAGAAAAGGATGTGGCAGATGGAAATGTCTCAGATTTTGATAATGAAGAAGGTAACTGTTTATTTTGGCTTAGCCAGTTTTTTCTTTTTGAAGCAGATTATTATGAGAATGAGATCTCATTACAGAAAGTTTGGAAATCAGAAAAGTCAGTCATGACCCTACCATGCTCAACAGAAGCAACTTCATTTTTTTGTGCCATCTTATCCCATTCTTTCCTGTTGCAGACCTGTTTATATATGGTCACAGCCACAGCTTAAATGCATTATACCCTTTTTGCACTTAGTTATATAATCAGCAACTCTCCACGTTGCTATAGAGTTTTCATAATTAATGTTTTAATAGCTGCTACTAAGTATCCATTCCCCTGTGGGACGTTTGGGTTGCTTCTAGCTTTTCACTCTAATAAACAGTGTGGCAGTGGATGATTCTGTGCACGTGACCTTTTACCTTTTTTTTGCATATTTCTTTAATAAATCCCAGAAGTGGGATTTCTGGGTCAAGGATATGAACATTATTTTATGCTTGCCAAATTGCCTTTCAGAAAGGTTGTGTCAATTTATACCTTCCCTTCAGCAGCGTGGGATTAACACTGGTTGTACCACAACCTTGCCAACATTGGCCATTTACGAGTTTCACTTCTTGCTAGATTAATAGGTGAAAGATGGTTCTTGATATTTGACTTTGCATTTCTTTGATTACAGGCAAGGTCGAACATTTTCCTATATGTTCCTTTCCTGACAATTTTTTTCTTGTTCCCATTGTCTATTCATATGCTTTGTCCCTTTATTTATTGGCAGGAGGAGATTTCAATGTTTTTCTTACCTATTTATATGATAAAGGAGAAGGGAGTTCAGGCTGGTTGAAGCTCTGGCCGGTTGTTTTATTCACAAGCTCAATCTGGAGCTTCAGGTCACGGAACGATTAATAAATTGTTAGAATCTCCTCTGCAAATATAAAATGCCAAGTCATAATGAGCTTGGTGGTCTCAGAACTATCCTAAATCGAACCGAGTCCCAAATTAGTTTGTTAGGTTGGAATTGAGCAGGATTCTTTTTCTTTTTTGGTGGTCTCCACTCCAAGATTCCCGTGAAGTGAAACCAGTACTTCCAGGATAACAGGAAATAGTGGTTCGATGCAACTAACTACCGCCAGTTCCTGCGGTGTGTCAGGGAATTATCACAGAGCCCGGGTAATGATTTATGCGGAACGGAGTCATTGCCCTCCCCGAGGACAGTTTTCTGATCAGAAGTCTATTATCAGGCCTTTTCTTCTCAGTTTTATTTCTTAAGCCAACCCAATCTTTCTTTTCCTGACCTGCATCCCACACCAAAACCCGGAAACCCAGAGGGAGGGGAGGCATCATGATCCCTCGTAATCCGGATTTGCCATTTTTGTTTGAAATTCTAGCATTGTCTGTGAATCCATTCTTTCACGATTAGGATCTTCTGGTTCTAGTTGATGTTGGCTAGGAGCAGACTGAATGAATCAACCTTTCTCCCAGTAATGGAAGAATCCACATCCCTCAAATAACATTGTGCAATAGGTAAATTTCAAACAACAAATCCTCTGGGAAGAAAAGCACAGCCTTCTCATTCTTATAATTATCATTCATCAAGTACACACCACACACTTGGCATTATAAAGAATGTTTGGCTTGATGTTGGTTTGACATGTGTTTTTTGTTTTAGCCACGACGAAAGCACCTCATGTATCTGAGGTCCCTTTCTCCAAGAAATCCAAGCACTCTACAAATGCATTTTCATTTATCTTGTCAGCATCTGGTAGAGACAGGTGTGGCCTCTGCTATAAGATTCTGTTTTTTTCCAGCAGAGGAAACAGAAATGGGAAAAAGTGAAGCGAACAACGTCCAGCTCAGTGGAAATGAGCATAGCTAGTAATGGTGGCTTGGTGAGGGGGGGATGGTACGGAACTGGGGGCTGTAAGTACATAGAGGAAAATTTTTCAGGGTAGGGATTTTGGCCTGGGTTTCATGCAACTCTCAGGTCTTTTTGTTGTTGTTTTAATTTACAAATTTATGCCTATCATGCGCAACACAGCACTCTAGGCAGTGAAAGAATGCTAATAGTTGGTGACATTCATCTTATTTGGCTGTCAACAAGCAAATGAGGTGTGTGTGCTTTGTACCTTTTTTCCAAATGAAGTAATGTAGGATGAGAGGGTTGCTAATACGTGTGCAGGCAGGACTTGAACTGACCTCCTTTGACCAAACCCATCCCTGTGTATTGCGCCAAGCTGCCCCACTGGTATCTCATGCAGACATCCTTAAGGCCTGATCTTGGCCATCGAAAGATCTCACAGGCTGGTGGAGGAGACACATGAGCCTTTTAGTCAAAGAATGAACCAAGAAGAGAGAAAGGGTAAAGGTCAGGGCAGAGGCCAGCCAGGGAGCTGCCCAGCCTCAGGGCTCCAAATTAGAATGTTGCCCTCTTACGTTTTTATTTGAAATATTTATTAATGGAAATTTAGAAAAGACCGAAGGTATAGGAAAAAAAATCAAAATCCCGTATGATCTCATGACCCCATCTCTGTTAGTATTTCGTTGTCCTTCCTGCTATGCAAAAAATATACATAATAGTGCTCCCACTGTGTATGCAGTTTTATTATGTACTGCTTTTCTCCTTTTAACACAATATTCTTTCATAAACATTTTCCCTTGTTAAAGCCCTCAGTAAACACAAATTTGGGGGCCCTCATGATACGTCATAATTATTTCCCCTTGAGTGGCCACAGTGGCCATGGAGGGGTTCTCCCCCCCACCAAACCCCCCAGTTTTTAGTTGTTATAGTTAATGCTCTGGTGAATATCTTGACTCATAGCTTGACCCAAATTTTATACGGTTTCCTTAGGATCAGTTCCTAGACATTTTCCCTTGTAAATGCTGTTCCTGCGTCTGAGGTTGGGAGATCATGTCGAAGTGGGGCATCTCTCATAAAACACTGTCCCCAGTTACGCTTTTTTTCCAGAGGAGCAGTCAGACCCTCCGAAGGTAGACGACAGTGACACCGGTCCCGATGTGGAGCCGCCGCTGCCAGTGCAGATCCAGATAGCCACAGATGTGATGGAACGCTGCATCCACCTGTCGTCAGATAAAGATCTGAAAATCCGCTTGAAGGTCAGTGTGCAGCCCCTTCCCTGCATTTGCGTGGCAGCAGGACTCCGGGTCGCTCTGGCTGGCAGTGCCTGCATGGATGGGCAAGAGGCTGCCCTTATCTCCTGGTCCATGTGGGGTGGCCAGGAGAAAGCATCGGGAAGACGTTATCTGTGGGATGACAGCCTTACGTCCTTCTGTATCAGCTCAGATGCCAAAAGGGAGCCAATTCCCCTTTGTGGAATTAAAAAAACACCAAGTTTTGGACATCCATTGACTCTCCAAGGGAAAGAAAGTCCTGTGCTTTGGACAGGATATCGTTTCCTGAAGTGACTTAATGTGGGAGGCAGGTTTTAATCCTTGGAAGCCGTCATTCTTCCAAGACTGACTCCGGCCCCCATCTCTGTTTCTCTTTCCATGTTCATCCCCAGAAAAACACCCACAGTTCTTAATTGTACTTCCTCATTTGCTGGCAGTTTCCCAAGAGCATCCCCGTCAGCAAGGACTTAAACTGTGTGATAGTGAAACTGGGCAGCAGGGCAGCCGGGCGTGGGGACAGGGCTTTCAGCATCACCTGGGAGAAGCTCTCACAGGGAAGGGCCTGGTCCTTCCCACTCCCAAGCAGGTGTGAGAAACACAGCTGCCTCGGTGAGTTACTGCTAGTGATGAGAGCATGCTGCCGTGCTTGGGGTGGTGGGCTAAGAAACCCCAATCCAGGATCATCTCAGATCTCAGGGTCTGTGCTTTGTGGAACTTGTTTCGTTTCCCCAGAGACACTTCCTAGCATTCATCTCTTGTTGCATTCAGCAAGTACTCTCTGAGTGCCTGCTATTTGCAAGGCTTGATTGTAGATGTCCGGGTGATACATGAGCCGAGTGTCTTCCCTTTTATGGAGGCTCTGTAGCAGCTGTGTCCATATGTGTCCAATGACCGTAGTCATTGAGATCACCAGTGTTGGGAGTCAGACCTACATACCTGAATTCACATCCTGGCTCTGCCTCTCTGACCTTGAGCAAGTTACTTCACCTTTTGAAGCTTCTGCTTTTTCTGTAAAATGGATGTGATGGTACCTGCCTCGCTGGGTTGGTGATTATAAATATGAAACAGTTTGCATCAGGCATGGCGCACACACATTCACTCGTTCATTCACCCAGTGTTTATTGTGGACTGCTGCAGGTCAGGCAGAGGGTGTACAGAAGGAAGTGAAGCAGGCATCCCTGTCTTCGTGGAACTTCCTATCTCTCGTGGGGAAATATACAAACACACACCTAGAAGGTGAAGAAATCTCTGAAGATAATAAGCAGGTTCTGTGATAGAAGATCGTAATTCACCCATCCAGTGAATGTGCATTAGGAGCCGACGCTATACCAAACCCTGTTGAAGAAGACAGAGCTTATGCCCTGATTTCGGCTAGGTTGCTGGGGGAGGCCTCTCCCAAGGTGGTGATACTCGAGCCAAGACTTAAAGGCTGCGAAGGAGCAAGCCATACGAAGGGGCAAAAGCAAGGAGAGGAATGTCTTAGGCAGAAGGAGGAAATGTCTGTCTTGGAATCGGTGGCATCTGACGTACCTTGCCCAGGTAGTGACAGAACTCCCACGCCAAGCCAGTGATAACAGCGCCGTTTCCGCTGGCTTGCTCTGCTGTCTGCTACGTGCCGAGGTTTCTCTTCCTCTCCTGCCTGCCTGTTCCCCTCACGGGCGGGCCCTCTTTGGTTCTTTGTTGCTCTTCCGGTCTCGGTGTGACCAGCACACAGTAGACGTCCAGCAGGGTTTACTGCTCGATTAGCAGACCTCGCCCTATCTGACTCAGCCGTGTACCTCCCCTGCTCTGTGAGGGCCGGCCCGTCTCTGGGAGGAGAGGCCCGCTGGTCATCGTCGTGACCCCTGCCAGTGACACCGAGGCCGGCCAGTCGTCTCCCTCTGAACTGCAGATCAGGACATGTGTTCTCGGGGAGGGTGAAAAATCCAGTTTACATCTGGGCCACTCCGAACCTTTCTTCCGAGATGGACCTGTAGCTCGGCTACTTGGCTTCTCCATGTAGAAGAAAGAGAACATGACCTCACCCAGCCTCTCAGCGTCCTCCCCTCCCTAGCTCCTGTCTCAGCCAGTGCTGCCTACATCTGTTTGGTGGCTAAGCCTGACTCCAGACAGCCCCTTTGGATACCTCTCTTCATTGCCCCGATATCGGGGGGCCGTCAGCAGCTACACACCTCATATACACATTCCAGTATATACATACCTCCAGGACAGACCTCAGACCCCTTCAGCCCTCCACTGCCACCCTGTGGCTGCATCCCTGTCCTCTCCTGCGGGCACGTGCCTGCTTCCTAAAGGGCCTGCTCCTGTCTCTCTCCTGCTGCAGGCCCCTCCCCCACTCAGCAGCCAGAATGATCTTTTTCAAACACGAATTGTATCATGGCACTTTCCTGCTTAAACCATTCTGATGGCTCCCCACTGCACTTAGTACAAAATAAAAAATTCTAACGTGACACCGTCACGGTCTAGTTCCTCTTCCCCCTCCTGTGTCACGCTACACGTGGCCCTGCTTCAGTTCCCTGAGCCCTGCAAGCCCTCCCTCCTCTGGGTCCTGGTTGCCGTTTCCACCTCTAGGAACTTCCAGGAACACTCTTCCACGCTTCCTGTGACTAACTCCTACTCTGCTGAAATCACATCCTCTCTTCTTTCAGGTCTTGGATGTGCTGGATTTGTGTGTGGTTGTTCTGCAGTCCCACAAGAACCAGCTCCTTCCCTTGGCTCATCGGGCCTGGCCCTCACTCGTGCACCGACTCATCAACGACGACCCCCTGGTGGTGCTCAGAGCTTTCAAGGTACTGTGCAGACACCCCACCACTGCCGCGTGGGTGGGGGCAGCCGGCACAGAGGGCAGCCGTGTCTCTGGGCATTCGTGCTCATTTTAGCTGATCCTTGAAGAAAGCATAGCAAAATAAGAAAGGCACAAAGAAGAAAGTAGAAGTCAGTCTCCTCTTGAGTTAGAAGCAGAAGGAACTAGCAGCTGAAAAGGACTGCCGGTATTCATCAAGCACCCCACTGTGTGCTTGGCACTTCCTCACGCGTGAACTCATCCCCTCCCAACAACTTTGCAAGGTAGCTACTATTCTCCCCGTTTTTGACAGAGGTGGAAATAGGCTCAGAGAAGTTCAGGGATTTTCTCAAGATCACACAGCTAGTAAGTGATAGAACCCAAATCTGTGAGTTTTTGCCCATGTTCTTTGCACTACACAGGAGTCAAGGTGAAGGGGCCCAGGTTCTAGCAGTGGGCATCCTCTGCCTATCCAAGTGACTTTGGGCAAAGCCCATGACCACCCATTTTCAAGTTGGCCTTAGGAACATGTGTTCCACCTTCCTCATAGTATTGTTGACAAGGATAAAATGGGACTATTTGGTGAAATGCTTTGAAAAGTTAAAAGCCGTATATATATATATGTCAGGTATTCTCCCCGACTTAGTTTGGCTCATATCAGCACATGTATTTTGGCTTATTTATTTATATTCTTCCTTTTTCTGAAAAGCACTTACGGCAGCCTACGGAGATATATTTCCCAGGGCAAGCTAACATAAATTAGGAGTAGGCAAGCAAGATGAAGCAAAGAAAAAAGATGTGTAGGGACATAAAATGAAGCCAGGAATGCAACTGGTATACTTGGCAAAACTATTTTGGTTTTCTGTAAGATTCTTCAGCATATACTGGACTAAAATAGGAGCTTACATTTAAAACATATGAAATTGTTAATATTTTTTTCCAAAGCAAAATATACAAAGTCACACACACACAAAGGGGAGGAGGGAGGCTGGGGGAAGGGGAGAAGGACGGGGGTCTTGCTAAATCTTATTCAGATGTGCTGCCTTCCTTTATGGAAATTAATAGGTAATCTGAAATGACAGGCTTAGAAAAAGGAAAAAACAGAAAGACGTGTGCACTGTAACTGAGGCTGCTTTTCCACCCCCAGACACCCCGGTGACATCTGAGGCCTGGAAGGCCTTGTGCAGGCCAGCTGAGGGCCCTGCCGTAAGGGCCTCATTCTCTGCAAAGTCGGCAAGCACTCTCCGTGCTGGTTATGCCTTGCTTACCAATTTTTAAAGAAATTCCTGTTATCCTGTATATTCAGCCTTGTGCAGCGGGGCAGAACATTTCAATATGTTCTGCTAGAGAAAGTTTAAAACGAGACATTCCAAGAAACCGCCTGTGGTGGAAGATGGGATGAGGGTGGCGTACATGGGGATGGTGCCATGGGACAGGAAGGGCTCTGCCAGGGCCCTGACCACCGAGTCCTCAGTCGAGAGGCCGGGGCAGCCACTGCCTTCCCGGGGCCTTCACGCAGCAGCAGCTGGGCCTCACTGTTTGTGTTTGTTCAGCTCGCTAGAGTTCAAAGCACAAGTCTTTTCTCAAGGGACGTTAGGAAGAGTCAAGAGATGATCTATGTGAACTGCTTTAAGCTCTCTCTCTTTTTTTTTTTAACCAAAAAAGGGAGGAACATCAAGGTATTAATCATATTATTCATCCAACCCAAGATTCCTTTGAATTATTCCCCGTGTAATCTGTATTTATGGATGGAAGCAGCCATGCCTTGGGAGCAGAGACCTCCGAATTCATAACTGTCAGAATCACAAACCATAGGCAAGGAATTAACAGCAGTAATTCTATTTTTTTTTTTTCCCCAAGAAGAAATTGAATTACCAGACATTCCTTAGCTCTGTGCTGCCTTGGCGATGTGCAGTCACCAGACCCGGGGCTGTTTCTGCAGGTCTTGCGTACCCTGGCAGGCAAGTGTGGCGACTTTCTGAGGAGCCGCTTCTGCAAAGACATCCTGCCCAAGCTGGCTGGCTCCTTAGTCACCCAGGCTCCCGTCAGCGCCCGGGCTGGACCAGTGTACTCGCACACGCTGGCCTGCAAGCTGCAGCTGGCTGTTCTGCAGGGCCTGGGCCCCCTCTGCGAGAGACTGGACCTCGGTAGGTACCGGCCACCCTCCCCTGGTAACACGTACCCTGCGCACGGTCTCACCACCACCGTGGTGCCCGGCACCCCCAGTCTTGCTCCCTCCTCTCCCTTCGTGTGTACATCCTTCAGTCTTACTTTGGCCTCGTTTTCCCACCTATCTTGATGTTTTTCTGACTTGCGGGGTGGAGTCAAGAGCCTAGGGCCTCTCGCCTAGCTGTTCCAGGCTCACCAGACAGCAGTTGCTTCCTCCTTGTCCCAAATGAAGTCTGAGGGCCAATGCTTGTTTTGTTTTTCCTCTCCGCAGGTGAGGGTGACCTGAATAAAGTGGCTGATGCCTGCTTGATTTACCTCAGCACCAAACAGCCCGTGAAATTACAAGAGGCTGCCAGGAGGTACGTCTGCTTGATCACCCGCATCTCTTTACGTTTGCTCTAAATTATAGATGATTTGCTAATGGTGAGCAGAGTCAGGGCATCTCCGTTCTTTTCTCTCTTTGCTCTTCTTGCCAGGTTAAGATGGTTTCTTTAACTGAGCCAACTCTAGAGATGGTATTTTTACTAGATGCATTTCTCTTTGCAAGTAACCTTTTCCTCTGCTGCAGTGTCAGCAGCAATTCCAAAGGGGCAAAAAGCAGAAAGAGGGCGTGCCGAAGGGGACAAAGCACCCTCCTGGTAGGAGGGGGATCTGCTTCTAGGCCCTACTCTAGTGACCAAGTGACCCTGGCACCTGTCCGGACCACAGCTCCTTCGTCTGCAAAGCATAAGCATTGGGTTGCTGATCTGGCACACCTTGACTCCACAGAGCATCTCAATGGACGTCAGGTGTTCTAAACCCTCGCACGTCGTACACAAAATCGGGTGTGTACAAGCAGACACTTAAATTCCTTTTTCTAGATAGAGTCCACAGCATTCATCTGATTATGGTAGGTGTCTGTGAACCGAGAAACATAAAGAATCGCTGGACTAATGGTCTAAAGGGCCTTTTTCAACTCTGAAATTAGGTGATTGTAACTTCCAAGAGTTTTGCTTATTCTCTAATAGCTGTGTCACCGCTAATGGAAGAAGCTTCCTTGAGCTCCAAAGGATTTTTCTCAAAAGCTAAAACTCTGAGCACAGCAGCATTCCCCAGACTTGAGACCAAAAATGCACTGTGTCCCCCTAGCCCCAGCTGGATGGAGAGCTGGGGCAAGGGGGCCAGAGTGGACCTGCCCATCCCCCCAGGTGTCTACTACTGGAACAAAAATTAGCTTCCCTGGCCTGGCACTTTGTCCTACCCTGGGCGCTGCAGCTCCATGGCCCAGAGCAAATCAGCAATCCCTCCCACTTCTTAGGCTTCTAGAAATGAGTCCCTGATCTTCCTTGGTGGGGTAGGAGTCCTCTCATTCCCTGCAGGCCTGCAAGGCCGCTCAGACTATGAGATGAGGAAGCTACTGCTCCCTTATAAACCTTGCACTCCCTGGGAGTGATGGAAATATCCTTTTGAATTGATTTATTGTCCTTTGCAATTTTTTTGCTCTTCATTTCCCCAGTTCCCTTTTTTCTTTCTGTCACTTTCCCGTCACTTCCCCTAGGCCCAGAATCAGTCATGGTTTCTCGAGCACAGGGGCGCATCCCAACCAGCTTCTTATCCTCAGACAGTCTTGTTCCTTAAAGAACCAACTTAGGGTGAAAATAGTCCTCCCCCAGACGGCATTCCTGAAGCTGCTCTCATGCCGATTTCAGGTGCACCTCGAGAAGGTAATGAATTCATCTTGGAGTAAATTCTCTGTGTGCCTGCTACAGCCAAGAGTCACAGAGATCTGACTCTCCCACTCTCTGTCCCATTCTCCTTTTCCTACAGCCACCACATACCCGTCCTTCAAGTTTAGACCCATCAAACAAGCTAATATTCGCCATTCATTATCTCTTCATTTCTAATTTTCTTTTGTGCCGCTAAAAGCAATTAAACCTGGAATTGGACCTTGCTGAGTCTTGAGTTGGTATTCAGGGTGCCTCTGGAGGAGGAAAATGCAGCCAGACCACTTGACTGCAGCGCCTTTGTTTGCTCTAGCGCATTCCATTTGGGGTTGAGTCAGATGACCTCCCTCTTGCCGGGCTGGGAGGGGAGGAAGTGCAAGGTTGATTGGTTCACAAGCACATCATCTGCAAACTTATTTTGAAGTCAAGGAAAAAAACCAGTGTTGTCCTTGATCAGGAGCTGATTTGACATCTTGATTCAGAAATTAATAAGCTCCATAAATGGGAAAAGAAGCCTGAGACAATAGGAAACCTGGTCTCTTTGTGAGCCTCGTTACTGAAGGAAGAGAGGGAGGGGGGTGCGTACTGAAACCCTCCGTGCCTATGGGCAATGTCGCCTTCTGCTCCCTCATCACCAGGTCCCCTGGCTCAGGGAGTGGCTGCACCTTCCAGCGCTTGTTTGTCCTTCACTTTCATCTTTCCCTCACGCCCCACTTCCATTCCGGAAGGGAAGCCGGTCTACCTGACTTACAGAATCTCTCTTCAGACTATCCGCATCTCATCACCGGCCCCCTTCCCCCACTCCTGCCCCTGTGTATTCCCCACTCAGCAGGCACTGACACCCGCCACGCACACCTGGGAGAAGGGAAGCCTGTTGTGTTTGTTGCCAGGGCCCAAGAGGGAGCCCTGTAGCTGAGTGTTCAGAAGAACCAGTGAGAGCCGGAGCTGTCCACAGATGCCCCGGCTTCCTCAGAGCTCGTGAGTTGCCGATGCGAGGTGGACGCCCCCTCCGTCTGACAGGGGTGATGAGGGAGCCGTGAGGGCCAGTATCTGCTCTGAAGGGAGATGGGTGAGCAGCCGTGTGAGGGGTACCCCGGACGAAGTTTCCTTCTACTGTACCCTTCTTGGTTCTTTGGCTGGTCTAATAATTGACGTAAGATAGATTAGCGGGAGAAAACCACATTTTTTTTTATTTCATACCTAAGGGCACCTTATAAAAACATGAGACCCAAGGTCAAGTGGGGCAGTTGAGGCTTCTTTGCCATCCTGAGCTAAGGAATGGCATAGGGGCCTGGGGCTTCACAGGGGGAGGAGGGTGATTCACAGGACCTATAAAAAGCAAATGTTTGGTAATTAGATGTTTGCCCTGCCATACACATAGGTTATTCAGATGAAAAGTTATCTCTGCTAATAGCTCTCTTTCTGGACCAGGCCCCCTATTCAAATTCTTCCAGGTAGTTAATGGAGGAGTAAGAGTTTTTCTTGAATCTGCTGAGTCTTGATTGCCTCCGGCTCAAGTCAGTCCACACGCCAAAGTGGCACTTTTGGGGGCAGTCTACTCTGCTCCCCTTCACGTATCTGTGGGTCCGGCAGGTGGGGGCTGGAACCTCCGAGGGGCAGCCTCCCTGGCGTTGGCAGGGAGACAAACTCAGCAAGCTCCATGAAAGTTCCTCTTTGTGTGCATTACCGTTGGCTTTTTCCTTCCTCCTGTTTGCTTCTCCTGGCTCCAAAGAATGACCAAGCCTGTGTTTGCTTTTTTAATTTGTCATATTAAATAGAGCCTTTGTGGCAGGCTTTTACATCCAGGCTGTAAACTCTAGAAATGGAAATTGATCAGGGGGTGGTTGATATAACCAAGGCTGTAAATGCTAAGAACAGAAATGCCATTCCAGTTCAATGCTTTTATCTAGCAAATGTGCCTTGTAAGGAGGGGCATAAATCTTGCAACTTGGGGGAGGGGTGGGGGATAGGAGTAGGATAGAACCTCGCCATATGTTACCACTAGGTGTCACTGTTAACTGGCTATGCAAGAAAAATACCAGCTCCCCCAAAGTCCATCTAGTTAAATAACTTCAATGGATAACAAACAAGAAAATCCTATTTGGGGTGTGGGAGGAGGGGTCAGCATACCACAAGTTGTAAACCAGGCAGGGTCCCTGAGGGTAAGCATTAGATTACAAAGAACAGGTCAGCCATACCCCCACCTCAACCATGGCAGAGGCCCACTCAACTGATTGAAATTCCCGAGTAGCCCTGGATGCCTCTGAGATCTCTCCCAGCATGCAGTGGGCCTCCACAGTTCTGTGCCTTTCTGACCATGGAGCTCTTCCTTCTCACACATGAAAGGAATCTGAGATGAGAGCACATACCCCAAGTTTCTGTGTTTTTCCTTAAAGCCAGTAAATGCTGTCAGCTTGATTCAACTCAACTCCATTGAAACCACACTCCTTGGGCCTATCTCTGAGCGGCCTCTGAGGCTCCCTGTCTTTTGCAGGGAGGTCTTAAATCATCCAATAAGCCTTTCACCCTGGGGCTGAAGGGAACAAACGAGGCAATACCTGTTTTGGAAAAGAAGTCTATGCTCCACAGGTCTCACGAGGGAAGAACAATGCTTTTAGGCCCCTTGGTCTCCGCCCCTAGGCCTGCCTCCACCTGCCAACCCCAGGACCCAGGTGGGGATGCAGGGTGCCAGCAGATAGTGACTGGCCGGTGCCCCTTTTGGTTGTGCGGGTACTGAATGCTACAGTCCTCAGTGCGGTGGTGGCCGGGGAGGGCGTGCTGTGGCCGGGGGCTCCCTCCCAGCTTCCTCTGCCTAGCCATTGTATACAAGGGCAGAGGATCCAGCCTGGGACAAACCTAGGTTCAGACCTTGCTGGCTCTGTGACTTTGAACAAATGACTTCGTTTCCTTGTGTCTTGTGTCCCTCCTCTGTAAGCTAAGGGTGGTGGTAAGGGAATTGCATTTCTCTGTGAAGGAGGCCCCTCAGCGAGTCCAATCGTTCTCCTGACCAGCCGAGGAGCTGCGATGTACCAGGCACTGTTCTAGGCACTGAAATGAGAGGAGAGCAAGAGAGAGGAGTCCTCTGCCCTCACAGGGCTTGTGCTCTGGAGGGGTATTTGTGTGTGTGCACACCCCTGTGAGGGATGTATGTAAAATATGAGATGCAGTATGTATGTATCATATGAACATTTGTGCACTTGGGCATGGTGTGTCTTACTGGAAGTCTGCTTCATCGTCACCGAACTCTGAAGAGAGTTTTTCACCCCGGAATGATCTTTTCATGTTAATTGTGCCACCTCCCCCTACCACCCTCTGCATGGGAAGTTAGGACCAGGTTTCAAGGTTCATTTACTGGCTGACTTCCCCGCTTTCTTTCTCGCAGTAGGATCCCAGCCCATCAAAGAACCAGCCGGTGCGTTCAAACCCTGGACGAACACGGACTGGCACGGGCTCGTTCGTTTCATCCCCGTCAGAGCCCGGCTCCTCTCTTCACCCACACATGGGCCTTTTATATTTGAACAGATCAGGAGCCACAGAGGTGATCTGTTAGTTCAGCTGAGCTTGAAATTAGTAGCTCATCCCCTCAAATGTTGTGGGCAGTTTGTTTGAGCTTGGACTGCAAAGCTGTTTCCCCCTTGGATCGAACCCAGCGTGGAAATGAGGGCACTCCTAATATTTTTCCTTTTGACATTTGATTAATAGTTGACAAATCCAGACCCAAGTAGTTAGCTTTCCTATTATCCATCTTTTGACAGACATTGCTGCTTTTCTTTTCCAGGCTCATTGTTCTAAAAATACACTCAGGTCTGAAGCTGTTCGCTGTGCATATACAGGCGTGATTTCCTGATGTCAAAGATAAGAGACATCTGCCATGCAGATTATAAACAAAGTGGGTTGCCGGGTTTCAGATCTGAAGGCGGGGACCTCTGTGCTACTTAAGCCAAATGCTATGTGTCCTTCCCCTGCTTCCTTGGTGCTGTCCTGTGATCGATAATCTGCCGGGGTCAACCATTTTACCACCCAGAGGAAAGGCAAGCGTGGGGCGTGCCTGCGCATCTGCACTCCGCACTGGGTTGGGACCCAGGATGCGCCTCAATGCTCCAGGGAGCGGGACCACCTGCACAAAGTAGATTTCACATGTCAAAAGCCTTGGCAGACCACAGGGTACCTGTTTCATCACTTTGCAGGGTCCATGGTCTGTCCTGAGCCCCTGAGAGGCCGCGGTGTGAATGTCATGATCCCAGTACCGAGTAAGGTAGCCAGGAAAATGGCCTTTATTATCTTATTAGATGTGTGTTTATTCACAAGATTTTTTTTTTTATTAAGAAGCCAAGTACTGTGTTGAGAGTTGAAAGATTGCAAAAATGAATACCAAGTTAGAGTGGGCCTCATGTTGCTGCTTGGTGGCGGCATAACCCTGGGCCAATCAGTTTACTTCTCCAAGTCTTGGCTCGCTCATCTGCAAGAGCATATCTGTTATCTTCCACCTAATTAAATTATTGCCAGGATTCAGTAAACTCATGCATATTATTTTTCAGCACAAAATGTCAGTACGGAGGAAAAAGTCAGTCAGTAGTGGTTGTTAGCATTATTAACTTCCTCCTGATACCAAAAAAGACCTGGGTCATCTTATCAATTAAGTGTATGCAATAACAACAAAAAAATAATAAGAGGGGAAAAAAACAAGGTGAAGCCAGGGTTGAGGTTAACATATGAAGTGCACACCTAGAGCTCTGCACCCTTGCTGGAGATGAGCCTTCAGTGTGGCCCTCATCTTCCTCACAGACAGAGCAAAGAGGGAAATGCATCTATTGTGCAGCTTCCCGGCATCCCCGAAATAAGAAAAGAGAGCTTTGCAGAAAGAGGCACAGCTTTCTTTGGTTCCGAACCCTAAGAAAATTTCTCCATGGGTCATCTTAGAAGAACACCGGGTACTGTTGTGGCTAATGTCTCTAACGTCCTTGCAGTGAATACACAAGTACACTTTCTAGAGCTGCTTGTCCCCCGCGTCCATCAGCAGAGGCTGCTGGCTTAGTGCCAAAGCATGGGTTCCAGGAAAACAGACCAGGGGGAGGGGGACCAAATAGGTAGGTTGCTACAAAGATGTCTTTATCTTCAAGGGTATGCACCTTTGGGGCGAGAGGGTGGGTGTGGAGCAGGAAACGCTGCATGTGGCCTGAGTCAGCCCCCTGGGTGCTCTGGCACAGGGCGGCTTTGAAATCTGCGCCTAGCAGCATCCTGGCTGGGGGTTGGGGGGGATCTAGGCCTGCGGGGGGCCTGGAGGCAGGAGAGGCGGCCAGATGGAAGGGGCTGCTTTTAAATCCCGCCCCAGTGGGATTTAAACCCTTCTAGGTTCTGGCTTATTTTTGAATTGTCTGTAACAGATTGGTCCTCTCAGTGCCATATCTTTTTAAATATGCACAAAGCAGTGGAGTCATTCCTCTGCATTTATGATACTTTGTCTTGTGGTACTTTAGGGGTGCAATTAGCATCGTAAGCTTCTACTGGTGTTTATGGTTTTAAATCCTGTTCCCGGTGCATTTAAATATTTTTATTATCGGTCTCTGCGTGAGTATGCGAGATGGAGTTAGATCGATAGATGAATGGTTTTGAACAGGTAAATATAGTTAAGTCTAACGAGTACGTATAGCTGCAGAGGTAATTGGTAGTATTTATTTGGAGAGTAAATCATTGCTCCAAGTCATAATCCTCCATTTCCAACATTTAGAAACAAAAAAACGACCTCCTCGCAGGAGAAGATAGCTAAATTGAATAGCAAGAAAGGACAGGCTTGAAATACTGGTGAACCAATGAACCGAGACCCATTAGAGTAAACTACCAAGATAGAAACATCACCCCACTGCTCGCTGGCTAGGACACGTCGACACCCCAAGCATCCATTTGTTTAAAAGGAAACACACAGCCTCATTTGTAGCACCGGCCTGCGCGAGTCACAGCGGAAGAGATGGCCAGAGAAAAGAGTGTACAAGTTCTGCCAGAAAGGGAATAGCAGGGAAACTGGAATAACTTTGTGGGTTTGCCTTCTTTCCAACAAGTGAGTTTATTTTCTGATTGCATTTAGTCATGGCCATGTAGAGAGAGCCTGTATCATGTTCCTAAGGAAACATCCCTGAATAACTTCTTTAGAAGCCCAAAATAAGTAAACAGATCACAGAGCCACAAGTTCTTTACCACTGGCACTTACGCAGACAGCTCATGAGAGCATTTTATAAATCCAGAAAGAGACAAGGAGCAGCAGATCCCTCAAGCAAGTA